TTTCCATATTTAGATACACAAATACCATTGTGTTACAATTGCCTACAGTACAGTAATATGCTGCACAGGTTTTTGCCTAGGAGAAAAAGCTGTAACATCTAGCCTAGGTGTGTAGTACACTATATTATCTAGGTTTGTGTAAGTACAGCCTGTAATGTTTACATGATGATGAAATTGCCTAAAAATATATTTCTCAGAATTGACTGTAACTTACTTTTGGTTATTTATTTTTTAAACATTTTATTCCTGCTTCTGATCTTTTCACTTTCTTAAAGGTATTCTTTTGATGAACAGTAAGTTTTTAAGTTTAATGTAGTCAGTTTTCTCAGTGGCTCATTTAAAAACATTTCTAAAAACTGAGGTCATAAAGGTATTCTATACTATCTTCCAAATATTAAATTTTTGCTTTTCACATTTGAGTAGTCAGTTCACTTGAAATGGAATTTTGGACATGGATTATATGCAGGGGCTCAATCAACTTCACTATATTCTCTTTATTGAAGGGCCAAACATTTCTCAACTCTTCTAGAGTGTTATCTATGTCATAAAATCAGGTTTTCATATATGTAAAGGGCTATTTCTGGGTTCCTTGACCAACTTGCTCATTCTTTTGCCTTAAAGTCTAAATTTACTAAAGTTTAATAATAATTATTTCCATTATAAAGCATGTGAAATGTCATGGTTATTTCTGGTGTACTGTCCTTTCATGTGTATTTTAGCAATAGCTTACCAAATTCTATTTTAAAATCTTTTGAATTATTTTTACTAGAATTGCACTGAATCAACTTGGAGTTAATGGACTCAAGTTATTGAATCTTCCAATCCATGAACAAGGTTTCTTTGTCCTGTTTTATACACTTTCTTTAGTATATCTCAATAAAATACTATTTTTCTCTATGAAGGTCTTCCCTATCATTTATGTCTTGAAATCTTATAAATGGTAACTTATAAATTATGTTTTCTCCTGGTTTGCAGACATATTGAAACAGACGTTTTATTTATATTAATTATGTATCCAGCAAAGTTGCTATAATTTTATGTTATTTCTAATAACTTATCTATAGGTACTCTTTGAGATTTCTAAATAGACAATCTCATCAAATGTGAATAACAGTTTCATTTCTTCCTTTACAATTTATTTCTTTAATTTCTTTAACTTGCCTACCAGTACAATGTAAAATATAAAAAGTGACAGATTTTCACATGTTAAACCATACTTGCATTCCTGGCTAAACCCAACCTCGTTATGATATATTATCTCTTTTATATGTTGCTTCATATGATTTGCCAATATTTCGTTTAGGAATTTTTTTTTGCATTGTTTTCTTGAATGGGATGGACTTACATGTATTTTTTTTCTCATCATTGTTAGGTTTTTTGTACGAAGATTATGTCTTATTACTTCATACATCTCACACTCTCAACATTTTACTGCATTTCTGGAATCAAAGCTGTACTACTTTCATTTTTATGTCTTCTGGAATAAGTTGTAATATACAACTAGATATATTTGTTCTAGTTTGGTACAACTGATAATAAAATGATTTTGACCTTATCTTTCTTTCCTTTCTTCTTTCTCTTTCTTTTCTTTTCCTCCCTCCTTTCTATTTTCTGTTGTTTGTTACTCCTGGTCCTTTATTTCCCTGTGAACTTTGTACTTTGAAACTGTAAACTCATATTTCTTGAAACTTTACCTTTTTTTCTTTGAGTAAAGATAAGTGCCCAAGGAAATACATGCTTTTTTTTCTTCTGAAAAGTAACATAAATTAAGGCTACTTGTGATCATAATTTCAAAAAAACTTTTTTTTTGCCCTTCCACTTAGCACCCAAGATTTGACAGGGGCAATTTTCGATGCAGACCCTGGGGTGGTAGATTTATTTTCACCTTGCAGAAAAGTGTAGTCCATGGAGTTCCAGCTTTATGGTGAAGTTTCCTAATTAGGCATCCCACATCAGGTGGACCCTGGGTTTTGTCTACTGTAACTCAAAGCAATACCAATCACAGTACCATCATAACATTTAAGTATTAATAATAATTATGACATTATGATGAGTGAAAGAAGCACTACAAGAAAAGTACGTTGTACTTTTATTCTAATGACATTCTAGAATTGGAGAAATTAACTTACAGTTTCAAAAAGCTGACTGAATAGCTGTTTCAGGCTGAGAGTGACTACAAAGTTTCATAAGGTAAACATTTGAGGTAACAAAAATGTCTTATATCTTATTTATGGTGGTGATTACTCATCAAATTGTTAACGTAAATACACTTAAAATTGGTGTATTTTAGTGTATGTAAATTATTACTCATTAAAGTTGATATTTAAATGGGGCTATGTGATGATAACATACCAAATTATACATTTAAGATATGTGCATTTCACTCTATGTAAAATTTATCTCAATAAATCCATTTAAAAATCCCTTTAGGAACTGAAACTTCAGAAACCAATTAGAGTTTTTAACATCCTTACTAGCCTCAATATCAGTTAAAAATGAATGAAGCCTTTATGAAGCTTGCCAAAACTCCATGATAAAGCAGCTTTACCATCTCAGTCCTTGCTCAAGTCACCATTCAGTTTTTATTGCAGATGGAAATGTATTTCTGTGATAGAAAGTATGTTTCTATGATTTAAGTCTATTTCTAAGTGAATACACTGGGAAGGAGAGAAGGATATATATGCAACATTGTAATTTAGGCCATTTTCACTATTCTGTTTTAACTGTGTACTGCGGGTTTATTTAGTTATGACTAAAAAGAAGGCATGTTAATGTGAGTCACCAAGTTGCTATTTGGATAGGCCCAAAGGTTTTCAAGGGATAAAATATGCATATTTATTTTTTCTGGTTTTACATGAAGAAGATTGTGGTTTAGTGTGATAGAGATAGGGTCTTCTTGCAAATTCATGGACTGTCAAGACAATTAAAATGTTGTAGCAAGCAAAAGCCCATTGAAACCTGTCTTAGAAGAGATTATAGGGTAATGGGGGAAATTTATGGATAAATAATGATAGAAAGAGATACACACAGTGCTACTGACACACTTTTAAAAGGCTGCTAGCCCCACAATGTTTTGTGAAAGAAATGAAAACAGAACCCTGAAAGGCAAACAGTTTAAGTTGACATACAAGGGCAACAAAGTCAGTGTACTAAACACTGTAAAACATGGAGCAAACAAAAGGCATAGAAAAACCAGGGGATCCTCATGGCCCTGGGAAAGTAAGTCTGTTTCCCAGGCATCCATCTCTTACTGTGTCTTTTAGCATTTTGGAACTTTTTAGTGAATAATTATTCAACTTATAAACTATACATTTTTAAATTCAGAAGAATACTGTCATTTTTGTTAGTTTCTATGACATCTCTTTAACACTGCAAACTCTGTGTTTCATCATCATAATATTGAATTGTTCTAGCATAGTTTCTAGGGGGTACAAAGTCTACACTTTTGGATAAATTTAATTACATGGAAGAATTTGATAAAGTTTATTTGGTATTTTGTATCTAGCTCACGAGTAAATAACATCACAATGTAGCAGTGGGAAGGAAAATATATTCAAATCTTTTGCATCCTAATTTTTTAAAATCAAAGATGAATCTTCATTGTTTAGATGAAGGTTTCTATCCTAACCTCTATCTCCACTTGACGCTACCCACCCTTCTGTCTGTACACAGTGCTATTAATAAGTAACATATCCATATATAAAGAATATTTCTAGAGAGAATCTTTCAAGTACAGGAAGATGTCTACACCCTGATATCAGACTGTGTCTGATGTATGTGTCTGTGGGGGTAATATGTGTCTGTGGTGTGTGTGTGTGGCATGTCATATGTGTGGGTATGTGGGATGTGTGTTGTGTGTAGGGGTGTGTGTGTGAGGTGTGTATGTAGTGTACATGTGGTGTGTGTGGGTGTGTGTGGTGTGAGTGTGGTGTGTGTGGGGTGTGTGTGGTGTGTGAGGTGTGTGGTGTGAGTGTGGTGTTTGTGTGGGTATGTGTGGTGTGAGTGTGGTGTGTGTGGTATGTGTGTGGGAATGTGGGGGGGTACGTGTGGTGTGAGTGTGGTGTATGGGGGGTGTGTGTGGGTATGTGTGGTGTGAATGTGTTGTATGGGTGTGTATGTGTGTGTGAAGCATGTGTATACACTGCTTAGGCTACATCACATATGGATAGGGTCTTCAACTGAATGTTTTCCAAGCACCTTGTGATTCTGGGTTTCAGTGATAATGACCATTGCTATAGATTTGGGGATCATAAACCAAAGGATATAATTAAATTTAATGACTTTAAAGATCCAACCAAACTGGAGTCTGTTCACAAACAGGCTGTTAAAAAGGTTTTATATTTCTTTTATTCTTCAGGCTCCTCTAATTGCCATAAATCAGTGTGCCTTTTACATACACTTGACCTCCATTTATAAGCACTGCTACCTATATTAACAGCAACTAAACATAATAAGAATTATTTTGTTAAAGTATAGTATCATTTTAGATATTTTGGTATGTCTATCATATAAATCATGCAAATAAATACTACAATTTAAAGATAAATGTATTTAGTGTTTTGAAAAATCAAGAACTTCATATCAAAAGATTATTTCCTTAAAAAGTACTGGATTTATTTACAGACAATATAAATCACTACATACATTGTTACTTTGCAAACCTCATACAGATCTGTCCAAAAAACAAATGTTGGACATTTGTTTTTTTCCTTTGAGTTTGAATCACAAAATATTTAAAGTGTTGGGGGATAAACATATCCATGGCTAAATATTAAGAAATGAGTCTAAATTGCCAAACCTACATGTAAAATATATGCTATGTTTTAGAATTAAATGTCTCTCGAATGATTATTTTCAAACTATTATTGAATGCACAAAACACATGGCTCTAGAGAAGTTCTTCAGAACATACACATAGTTAATAAGACACAAAGAATATTTAATTTTACATACGAAGCAGGAAAATACAGGTAAGCATTACTTTCAACCAAAAAACAAACCTTAATAAAATAGTTGTTATTGTTATTGCAGTTGCCAGACACTCCTTGTAATTCAGCCACAGTGTTCTAGAATGGTTGACAAAAAATATTAAAGAAGGCTTACCCCACACCGCAAAGAGAGCAGCCTAATGATAAAGGATAGAAAAACACTGAGGTCCCAGTGCTTATTGTAATATACACTGTTAAGTGCTGCATGTTGGTAAAAAAATAAATGCCCCCACTCTTAGTTTCTCAGTATTATAAATACAGTATACAATCTATTTACATTATTATAATCACATTATTAAAAGGCCAACCATAATAACTGCCAATACTTGTTTATACACACGAACTATTTCCAACTAGGAATGGCAAACAGAAAGAGTCAAATTTAATGTTATCCCTCTAACACTTTTTATAACATAAACATATTCTTGTATACCTTTTAATATTTATGCAAACCAAAGCTTCCATTATATTTTTGCTTCTAAGTATTACATGCTAACACAAGCAATAAACACCCATACCTATGTGGGCAGCTACTCTAAATTGTATTCAATACTTTAAAAGATTCTAAAAAATAATGTTGCTATAATATTGTTATAACGGTATTAATTTCCAGTAAATAAAACAAATTATGAAAGAAAGATTCAATTATATTTTAGAAGGAGCTTCAGTTTCTGGAGTGATGATTAACCTTGTTATGAATTACTGCCTAAGGAGACTCTGAAATGCTATCTATAAGCTAAGACTTCACAATGTAATAAATATTATGTCTTAAAAGAATATTTAAGGAAGCCAAATCATTATAATTTTTAAAGTACAATAGTTTATCTTAATTTCAATGACCATACCTATTTTCTAATTCAAATATGGAATATAGTACCAGTTTATACTCTATTTCCAGTGTGAGCCTGCAGTACTTCAAACTGTATCAGGCTCCTTAATAATATATATAAAGATACTACACAAAATATATACCATAATTACCTCATCTCACTACTAAAAGGCTAAATACTGACAGTTGTGGATTATGACAAGAAATTAAATGTTATTAAAAAGTTAAATTCTAGCTGAAAAATTTATCATACCCCCCAAGTGTCATGAAATAGTGCTATCTGAGGGATTTATTGAAATCCTCCTTGGCAAACTTTCAGATTGTTGAGAGAGAGAGAGAGAGAGAGAGAGAGAAAGAGAGAGAGAGAGAGAGAGCGTGCAAATGATCAATTATTTTATTAAATAGAAATTCAATAATGAATCACAGATATATTCAGATATACATTTAAAATTTTTCAATTGTTCATATATTCAACTTCCTCTTCTTAAACAGTATCTTCCTTTTTCTTCTACAGCTTTTAGGCAAAGCCATTTTAGCTTTTTTTTTTTTTTAAATCAGAATGTTTAACAGAAAGTAAACAAAATCAGGAATGCATATTAAAATAAACTTGGCTGTTCGCTTATTTTAAACCCTTCTAATGATTTGGAGGAAGAAAAAAACAGAAAAAGCAAAAATTTAAATATTACAGTTATTTATTAGAGGTCCACTGTAGGTTTATAATTTCAGGATCTATTTATCACATTGTGATGTTTTCCAGGTAATCAATTCAAGCAAGCAACTCCTCTCTGTCAATGTGACAAGTTCCAAGTTACAATCAACTTTGGATGATCTGATCAAAAACAGAAGCTATCTATCCTTCAGCAGATATTGCTGATCTAAGAGCTGGCTCTGGAAATCAGTTGGATGAACTTGGTTGCTCTGTATCTAATTAAAGGTTTTCCTGCCTGGTACAGGGAATGTCAAAGGGGACGTCGTCAAATAAAAGTAACTCTAACTTTAAAACCACAAGATGAATCTATAAATCACAAAAGTGAAAAACCAAGTGACTGATTACACACATCCAGGGCCTGTTTTAACACAGATATATTAATTAATTAATTTTTATATTTTATATATATATATATATATATATAAAATTAACTCAATTATTTAAGGAGCATTTATTTATTACATATCCAATATTTGTTCTTCTCATTTCTTTTATGCCTCCTCAACATTGTATTCTTCATTCATAAAGGGAGACAGAGAGTAAATAGAAAATGGAAAAAAAGCACTCAAATCAATCAATTTAATATTTTTCACTCTCAGACAAAAATAATTTGAATCAACTGATAATTTGAAATTTTAACACTGGAGTGGATTTTCCCTATTTGTACAGCTTTCATTTCTCTTATGCACTGAAAATTAACAGTTGGATTTATCTGGGCACGTTTTGGTGAGGCAGTGTGTAACATAAAAGAAAGGAAGAAAACCGAAGTCACACAGGAGGATGGAGATAGATACAAAAAAAGTCTCCTTGACTTTTTTCCATAAACTGAGTTACTTGAAGTAACATATCAAGCACTTCGTTTTTACTTCTACAACTTGCAAAAAGGAAAAAACAGGTTAACTTAAAGCTAAACTAATTAAAAAAAAACATTTACGTACTCAATTATTCTTCCCTTTAAATTCTATAAAGATGATTCTATGGACTGTTGCCTAGAGTAAAATAATTATCCAAAGACTTGATCTCCCTTTTATTAGAAATACAGAACAAAAAATCACAGAACCTAAACTCCATCACCCCTAACAGTAATTCTCTTAACATCTTTTGTTGCCAAGTTATTCTGTGTCTGCCTGAATACAAGCAGACCCAGCAGAAGTGTTCTATACACTCTACTCAAAAACAGCACAGTGGGTTGCAAAGAGTCCAGCCTTTGGAGCCAGCAAGACCTTATTCCAATTCCAACTCTGCTAACTACTGGATGTAACATTAGAGAAAACTTCAGTTGCTGCATTTGTCAGAAAAAAAGAAAATTTCTTCTGGCTGCATTAAAGATTAAATGAGATGATGTAGGAAAGACACCTTACAAAGTGCCTGCCACTAAATATGTACTTAATTTCCTTGTCCCTGAAAATATCTGCTCAGATGACAACTCTGATTACCTTATAAAAACAGGCAAACAAGAAAACCTATAAGCAATCTTCTATTTAGGATGTGATACATTACTAAGTATAAATGTCAAGTAAAAAACATTCTTTTCCCATCTATTCAAATTATCAAGTTAAAGAAGACTTTGGGCCAGGAGTGGTAGCTCACACCTGTAAAGCCAGCACTTTGGGAGGCTGGGGCAGAAGGATTGCTTGAGGCCAGGAGTTCAAGACAGGCCTGGACAACATAGTGAGACCTCGTCTCTACAAAAAAAATTTTTTTTTTAAATTAGCAATATGTGGTTCTGTGTTCCTATACCCCCAGCTACTTAGGAGGCTGAGGCAAGGCAGGAGGTTGGCTTAAGCCAAGGAGTTTGAGGATACAGTGAGCTATGCTTGTGTCATTGCACTCCAGTGCGGGTGGCAAAGCAAGACCCTTGTGTCTTTAAAAAAACAAAGCAAAATCTTATATTAATTTTTGGGGATAAATGTGATAATATTTCAGTGCCTCAAAATAACTGCAGTAAATGTGTGATCTGTGATCTAAATGTTTCACTTGGAGTGCCTTAAAAATTTGACTATATTCTTTGCCCTCTCCTTATTAAACCTGATATCTTATTTCATATTCATGGAACATTAGAAGCTAGAGGAATTTTATGACCTAACTCAATCCCTGTGCTTTCAGGCCAAAGAAATCAAGGCACACAGTTTAGAAAGCCTGGCCACATCCCCTTCCACCACTTGATGTCACTGTACTCCCTGAACCTAAGACCAAAAATCCTTCTAGCACAGTGAGGAGGCAAAAATCAAACCTGCAGAGAATGATGCTACAATCTCAGAATAAGCTTGCAGTCAAAGTAAAGCAGTGTCTCTGATAAAATACAAAATACTAATGTAAAGAATTGAAAACCAGGTAAGATACAAGTTCAAAACATTTAAGGAAATCCCTTCTTTAGTTTGAAAATCCAAGATAACATTATTCATACAAAGTATCTCAGTGTGATGAAAATATACTCACCATTTCAAATGGACTCATCAAGTAAGAAAATCAATCAAGTTCTAAGAGTCTAATTCATTCAAGGGCTTTCTACTGTATTATCCAATGATCAAAAGTTAACAGATATACTACCTCTAATTTTCTGCTATAATAAGTGAGGAGTATATATATATCCTCATTATATTACATACTCATGAGATCATAATATACATTAGGATTAAAACACCTCAGATTAAAAATACATGAAAAATATTTGAAAATCTGTTTATTAATCTCTATGACCTGGCTAGAAAGCAATATTCTGAAAAATTACACATTCAGACAAGAAAGGGCTGAATATATGAATTTCCATTGTGGTTATATCAGCTGGAATAAAGAATATTTGTTATAGCTAAATATGTACAAGTTTATGGAGTATAAAATACTACAATTATATTGTTGATGGATCTTTTGACACGCCAATATGAAACATGTGCATGTTTAAATATGTTTATAATAAAGCATGTTGTCCCATTATATCAATGTGCATTTGGCAATGACATTAGAAATAGAACAGCATCTGTATTATATTACAGCACACAAGGGTTCTGGAGAGCTGTTTTCACTTGGGGGTTAGCTTCTATTCATTTACTTGATCTTCTACAGAAAGCAGGATGTAAAATTATTCCAATATGTATCTACTCTATGGAACATGTGCTAGTGGAAAGCTCTGTTCTGCACTGTGTTAGCACAAATCATAGTGAGCAGATCCAAAGAACTTTCTCTTCCTGAGGGGAAAAGACACTGGAAACACTCAGCAATCTATAGTATTTTTCTGTGTATATTTCTATGTGTATCGGTATGTTTACTGATTTTTTTGGAAAAGCATTACATACTATCATAGAACATTTGGAAAAGTTTGAAGAAATAAAAAGCAGAGAGAGAAAAATCACCCAATTCCAGCAATAAAGACAGACATTATTCACATTTTTGTGTTTTTATCCTTTTCTGTTTCTATGACTTCCTTTATAATAGTAAAAAAATAAGACTTATTTGTGTCCACAAACTTCATACTATAAACAGGATACCATGACTTGATTCTTAAGTGAATATCAGATGCAAGCATTATTTCTTTCCTAAGGTAGAATTTTGGTTCAACGTAGACATATCTTCCCTGAGAAACTACATCAAACCTGTCATACTGTTATACAGCAGAGCATTTCATGAATTAGAAAATGTGGAAAAAAGAATCTGCAGGCACTACTGACCTCGTCATCGTCGGCATCATACTGAGCATAGTGCTGTTCCAGCAGCTCTCTCTGGCGCCTTTCCTGTTCCAGTGTCTGGCTTATCAACTGGGCAACCTCACTCACTTGTCCTGGTTTTTCCCGCCCAATAACAAATCTGTGGAAAGGTTAACAAAGACTAATATTTAAGACTTTCCAGCAAAAAGGAATGTTAAGTAACCAGGTTTGATCTCAGCAGGGCCCGTCAAGCCTGAAGAAAGTAACATCACCTACATACTTCAAAATGGTTTTCTTGGGTGAGGGGAAAGGTTAGCTGAGTAATTGAAGTGATTTTTAGGGATACAGCTCATAAAGGAAGAGAAGGGGGAAAAAAGTAAAGGACCATAAAAATTACCATTTTAAGAGAAGACTTAACATATGTAACCCAATTTGCAGTACTTTATACATTTTTGATGCCATACAAAATGGAAGCAAGCTCATAATTTCCTGTACCATTGAACTCAAGAATAATTTGCATAACTATAACAAAAATTGCTTCAAAAACATCTGATGGCTGGGAGCAGTGGCTCACGCCTGTAATCCCAACACTTTGAGATGCCAAGGTGGGTGGATCGCCTGAGGTCAGTAGTTCAAGACCAGCCTGGCCAAGATGGCAAAACCCGGTTTCTACTAAAAATACTAAAATTAGCTGGGCATGGTGGCATATGCCTGTAGTCCCAGCTACTCCAGAGGCTGAGGCACAAGAATCACTTGAACCCAAGAGGCTGAGATCGCAGTTAGCCCAGATAGTGCCACTGCACTCCAGCCTGGGTGACAGAGTGAGATTCTGTCTCAAAACAAAAACAACAAAATATTTTGAGATATAGCATAACTTAGGTGGCTAAACATATAACTTTGAAAATAAGAGAAAGGGAAAACTGAGGTAGTGTTTTTTGTTTTTAAAATGAAAAACTGTAATAAGAGATGGTGAATTAATTCACTTCTTTTTGGGGAAAAGACAGTATGAGAAAAGGTGTGATTCAATAAATAAAGGGAGAAAAGAAATTATTTATTGATACTAATTCCTGTAAAAAAAAAAAGCCTAAAGAAAAAAACGAGAAAGACATTTTCTTATTGCCAGCTACAGTCACGGTATATTCTTGTCAATATAATGTGTTGTGCTCACCAATTTAATACTCATTTTTTAACATCTTTTCATACTACTACATGCTTCTGTTTTTCTAAAAATATAAATAATGTGTCTCTAGGATGCAGTTTCTAAGTATTACTTATCATTATTTTAATGTGAATCTTTGTTTAAATCTTGTTTCTACATTTAATTGATGCTTTCCTCTGATTAAAGTATATTGCTGTCTTCAATCAATTTTAAATGAAATATACAACTTTTCTGCACAATACACTAAAGATCAAAATTTTTCACACTTAGATGTTAGTAATTAATTGCCTTTTAAGAAATACTTTTATATAGTTTCAAGCAAGACTTACTTTGAAATTATGTTTAAGTGTTCACTTATCTTTTATTTTCCTTTGGAAATAAGTGTTAATGAAATTTATAAATACTATCATTTTCATCTTTATTCAGGTACAATTTATACACAATAAAATACATCAGTTTTAAATGTATAGTTCAATAACTGCAATACATATGTAAACATGTAATTACACATCAATTAAGATACAGAACATTTCCATCAACCCAAAATATTTCCTTTTATTGCTTCCCAGTAAGTTATCTTCATCCTGGTTCATATTAATCTTTTATAAAGTTCTATATAAATAAAATTTTAGAGCGTCTAGCTTGTTTGGCTCACCACATTGTTTTGGAGGTTTATCCATGTTGCTGTTTAAGTATCAGTTATTTGCTCCTTTTTATCACTAAATAGTATTTTATTACATTGAATATACTACATTTGGTTTATTTTTCTACTGATAGGTATTTGGATTGACATTATTTAAAAAGTTACTTTTAGAGAGGCCTCAGAGAGAACACCACACAACTACAACCATGTGATCTTTGACAAACCTGATAAAAACAAGCAATGGGAAAGGATTCCTTATTTAATAAATGGTGTTGGGAAAACTGGCTAACCATATGCAGAAAGCTGACTGGATCCCTTCCTTATACCTTATACAAAAATTGACTCTAGATGGATTAAAGATTTAAACATGAGGCTAACACCATAAAAACTCTAGAAGAAAACCTAGGCAATACAATCCAGGACACAGGCATGGGCAAGGACTTCATGACTAAAACACCAAATGCAATGGCCAACAAAAGCCAAAAGAGACAAATGGGATCTAATTAAACTTAAGAACTTCTGCACAGCAGAAGAAACTATCAACAGAGTGAACTGGCAATCAACAGCATGGGAAAACATTTTTGCAATCTACCCATCTGACAAAGGGCTAATACCCAGAATCTATGGAGAACTTAAACAAATTTATAAGGAAAAAAATAAACAACCTCATCAAAAAGTGGGTGAAGGATATGAACAGACACTTTTCAAAAAAAGACATTTATGCAGCCAATAAACATATGAAAAAAAGGTCATCATCACTGGTCATTAGAGAAACACAAATCAAAAGCACATGCAGATACCACCTAATGCCAGTTACAATGGTGATCATTAAATCAGGAGACAACAGATGCTGGATGTGGAAAAACAGGAATGCTTTTACATTGTTGGTAGGAGTGTACATTAATTCAACCATTGTAGAAGACAGTGTGGCCACTCCTCAAGGATCAGAAATACCATTTGACTCAGAAATCCCATTACTGGGTATATACCCAAAGGATTATAAATCATTCTATTATAAAAACACATGCACATGTATGTTTATTGTGGCACTGTTAACAATAGCAAAGACTTGGAACCAATCCAAATGCCCATCAATAACAGACTGGATAAGAAAATGTGGCACATATACACCATGGAATATTATATAGCCACAAAAAAGGATGAGTTCATGTCCTTTGATGGGACATGGATGAATCTGAAAACCGTCATCCTCAGCAAACTGACACAAGAACGGAAAACCAAACACCGCATGCTCTCACTCATAAGTGAGTGTTGAACAATGAGAACACACAGACACAAGGAGGGTAACATCACACACCAGGGCCTGGGATTGGGGGCACTAGGGGAGTAATATCAGGGAGTGGGGGGATTGGGGAGGGATAGCATTAGGAGAAATACCTAAATGTAGATGACGGGGCGATGGATGCAGCAAACCACCACCATGGCACATGTATACCTGTGTAACAAACCTGCATGATCTGCACATGTACCCCAGAACCTAAAGTATAATAAATAAATTAAAAATAAATAAATAAAATAAAAAAGATTTTTAAAAATTAAAAGTAAAGTTACTTTTAAACATTTGTGAACAAGTCTTTGTGCGAACATAAGTTTTCATTTCCTTTAGACAAATAATGGAATTGATGAGTCATAGGTAAATGTATATTTAACTTATAAAGAAATTGTCAATCTGTTTTTCGAAGTAACAGTATCATTTCATATTCCCACTAGCACTACATAAAAGTTGTAGTTGCTTTGCACTTCATCAACACTTAGTAATGTCTTTTAAATTTTTGGCCATTCTAGCAGGTATCTTGTGGTACTTCATAATGGTTTTAATTTCCTCTGCCCTGATGACTAATGATATTAAGTAAATATGCACTTGTTGACTAGTTACATATCTTCTTCAACAAAATATCTTTCCAAATCTTTTACCCATTACTGAAAATTGGGTTGTCTATTATTGAGTTATAATGGTTCTTTATAGGCAAACTATATATACACACATGAGTGTGTGTATTTTTTTTTTTAAACAGAGTCTTCCTCTGTCATGCAGGCTGGAGTGCAGTGGCATGATCACAGTTCACTGTATCCTAGAACTTGGCTTCAAGTCATCCTTTCACTTTGGTGCCCCAAAGTGTTGGGATTACAGGCGTGAGCCACTGCAGCTGGCCCTTTTTATATTCTTGATACATATCCTTGTCCCTGTATGTTCAATACACATATACAAACACACACAAACAATATACATGTATGTGTTTATGCATTTAATTTATTTATTAACTTGTCCCAGTCTGTGGCTTACTTTTTCATTTTTAAATTCTGTCTTCTAAGGAAGTCTAATTCATCACTTTGTTATAAAAATTCATGGTGGACATGGTGGCTCATGCCTGAAATGCCAGCATTTTGGGAGACCAAAATGGGAGGACTGCTTGAGCCCAGAAATTCAAGACCAGTCTAAGCAACACAATGAGACCCATCTTTTAAATAAAACAAAATAACCAGGTGTGGTCGCATGCACCTGTAGTTTTAGCTACTTGGGAGGATGAAGTGGGAGGACTGTTTGACCCCAGGAGGTCAAGGCTGCAGTGAGCCATGATTGTACCAATGCTCTCCAGCCTGGGAGAGAGAGCAAGACCCTGTCTCAAGAAAAAAAAAATTCATGCCTTTTGCTTCCTATCTAAAAAGCTTCTGCCTGATTTAAGATTGCTAAGATTTTCTCCAATTATGTTAATGTTTTGCTTTTATATTAGGTCTATGATAACTTGTAAATTAATTTTAATGTATGAGGTGTGTGAGGGTGGAGTTTCCATTTTTTTCTAAATGGATCATGAATTGTTTTAACACCATATGCCAATACCACACTTCTCTGATTACTATATAGTAAGTCTTCAAACTAGGTGGTGTGGGTTCTCTAACTCTGTATCAATTGTTTTTCCTCTGCAATTCCATGTAAATTTTATAATCAGCTTGTCAGTTTCTATCAGGAAGTCCACTGAGTTTAACTTAGAATTGCTTTAAATCTATAATTTATGGAGAACTGACATCTTAATAAAATTGACTTGTCTGATCCCTGAACATATATCTCTATATTCATTCAGAGTTTTACTTTCTCTCAGTAATATACTATAGTTTTCAGTACATGGGTCTTAAAAATAGTTTGTTAAATGTACTTCTAGGTATTTCATGATTTTTTTTTTGTATTGTAAGTGATACTGGGTTTTAAATTTCAGGTTCTAGTTATTTGTTTTTATGGTATAGACATACAATTTATCTTTGAATACTGGCCCTGTATTCTGTGACCTTGCTAAACTCATGTATTAATACTAGTAGCTTTTACAGATTTCCTACAATATTT